TATTAACCCCCATTGATCATTTGTTTTTTTTAAGTATTCTGGTGCATTAATGATCTCTAAATTCAGCAAGCCTAGGCTCATTGGATTTCTCTCACCGAGACATTCGATTTGACTACTAATATGTCATATTTGGAACTATTTGACCATTTAACTTACAATTGAAAAACCTTAAATTGTGCTTCAATGATTTGATCTAGGCTCGATTGGACCCATATCAAACCAATTTTTGTATCATTAAGTTCGCCTTGTCGGAACGATCAGTTTGAAGATAAACTTATTTAAACTGGAGCCATGGATAATCTTGAATTTAAATTTAGATTGTTTATTGCTGAAAAAATGCATTGAGATTCTTGCTGGATGATAAAAATTTCTTAACTACGCAAAGAAAATTATGAAACTTAATGTCATCAATCATGCTGAACCAAACTTACTAGTTTCTTATATCCGGAAAAACATTTTGTTTAAATTATAACCTAAAGTAGAATACAAAACATAGTTATCATCATCTAAACAAGTTCAGTTCTAATACATCATACACGAATCTTTCAATCACTTAATTAAATAATTCGGGTAGCAACAAATACATCCGTTTCAGTGTTCTCCATATCCTGAAAACCTTTCAATCTCCCATAAAAAATGAGAATACAGAAATGTGAATATTATAATAGTACACCACACCAATCTTGTTATCACTAATGGAATTGAAATAATAATCATATTTTGCTAAATGTGACTGAATAATGTATTATTAGATGGATAGAATTTGAATCTTTATGTTTATCTACTCAATTAGAATTGAAGTTGAACCCTCAAAATCATTATAATCAAAACTCATCAAGATTATTCCCCTCTTCATATTGGAGCCGGATTCCTTATAAGAACACAGTCCAATTACATTTTTCAAATGCAAAACAAGCATCTGCTTGCAATGGCATGCCAAGAATTTTGTTATAGAACATTGATTGAGGCGAAAGCTACTGATCTTGACTCTAATTGCTAATGTTATGACTATGGTTGATCAATTAAGGATTTTGTGAGATCATAAACTTATTGATGATATGCCCTAAGTATGATAATTTTTAGTATATGACCAATTATTTATGAAGTTACATAAAAAACGGCACATGATTATACATGTTGCTTTACTATGTAAGAAAAGTATGCCAGAGGTTTAGATTTTTGTTTGATGAATGCTCACCATTATGAGATATTATTGGACTTGCATATTTATTGAAGTTATTATATAAATTTTAATTATGGTTGTTAGTAGTTCTACTAACTATGACTATTAAATTTGTATGTATCTATGCTAATGAGAGAGAGAGAAAATTGCTTTAGCCTTAAACAATCATATATATACATAATAACAAATATAAATGGGAGATTTTTTATGATTAAAACATCGAAGGAAAAAATGCTGGACTTAATCAAATAAGAATAATTTTCACTAGTTGTAATTTTAAATTATAATAAGCTATTATTTTTTGTAATTAAGGAAAACAACGACATAATTTAAGAGACTTAAATTATGATGAAAATTTCTCTGGAAGTGGTGCTAAATAAAATCCAGAGGTGTTGATAATGATAATGTTGAAGGGAGCCTAGGAATTTTTTTTTTCTAAAGGGAAAAGGATAGTAAACAAACTACAATCAAATGGTGACACAAGATTAGTGAAATAGTTATTCTTTTTTGAAGAGGGGCCTGTGGATGGTGGCAAAGTGAGAGAAATCAATCATCATCCTTAAAACTTTATACATTTACTAAAGTAGAGGTTTATATGGTCCATAGACTAAGATGAAATGGCAAAAAATTGCTTTTTCTCCAAGGGGAGAGGGGACTAAGATGATGATTAAGGGAGGATTTGATAACACCAAAATAATTGACTAAATTTTAATTGATGGTCAAAGTTTTAGAATTCTATAAGACCTAAAACCTCAAAATTCCTTGAATTAGCAAATTTATGGTCTATTTATAGATTTTAAGGAGGTATATGTGCCTTATATCCTATATCATATCAAAATATTAATCAAATTAAAGGCGAATGGACTGTCCTTTTATTGAGCTGGTCTGATTTACCCAATGCCAAGCCCAAATTGAATTGCATGGTCGACTAGGTATCGATTGTTTTAAATCGACAATAGTCATCTCTAGTGACATCTTTTGTCAACAAATAAAATATACCACCGTGTATCTTTTGATGCCACAAATTCAATGGAGATGCAAACATAAATTTCTACCAGTTGGTTTAATGAGAATATTTATCAGAAATTTATAAATTAAATTTAAGTTTGATAGAAAATACTAATGAGAGAATACCATATTTGTAATAAAATATTTGTCTCCTCATGGGCAATTAACTAGCCTAAAATAGCTCATGAAATGAATATCCATGCAAGGCATAGGAACTAGCTCGTAGAAGTTGAGATCTTATTAGATGAATTTGAGCAAAAATGGGATGTTGTAGGTGAACTTTTGTTGTAGATGATGATGTTAGGGAGAAATGGGTGGAGGCTATCACTATCCTAATGGTGTGATTGTACATTCCCTTCCTCATGCGATGTAGGCTGAAGAGAATATTCGTATGAGACATACATTTTCATAGTAAAACATGTGATTTATTAAAAATTCAAAATCATATCTGAAGCCTAGATGGCAATTATATACTTTTTTCAATTTTTCTGAGATTCATTCAATGTATAAAATCTTGTACTTAATCAAATAAAAACTGTTGTGATCCAAAAAAAAAAAAAATCAAATAAAATTTGTTGAATTAAAAATCTCATTCGGCAAAAGTTTGACTTTTCAAAATCATGCTTCAAGCCTAATCAAATTAGAATGCTACAATGTCTTTTCTTTATACATTTTGAACCAAGAGAGAAAATAATATAAATACACCACTTCTTATTCAATCAGACAATGGAAAACAATACTATAAAAAAAATTGGCTGCACCGATTCGGATTTGGGAGTTAGTTTTTCACTTTGTCAAATGATTTTTTGTGTTTAATTTAAGAAAAAAAAATTGCATTGATAACTACAACTTTGCTTGATATTGACTAATATTTGGTTAATATTAATACTGATACACCATCAACAAATCTCCATCATCGATATGAATCTCGAGGCGTGACATGGATCTCGAAGCAACTTTTTTGGGTGAGAAATGTTCAAATTTTGATAAAAAATTATCCAGTAGTTCGATTTTAGCAAACTTATAGTCAAACTGACCGGATAGACAAGACAAACCCAATGATACCAATCTTAATATAATTTGAACCAGATTGAGCCCTGATCAAGCTATTAAACCATACTTAAAATTTTTTCAAACACATTTGGGAGGTCAAACGAATGTTGAATCAAGTGAGTTTATAGTTGAATTGAGCGTCTCGACAAGACGAATCCAACGAGCTCAAGATCACTCGATTCTGACATTGTTAAGACACTCAAATGTTCATCAAATGCCGTCTGATTGAGGGAAACCCTTTGAGTCGTCTGATGAAAGTAGTTCATTTTCCTACGTTAATTGCACCTGAAACTCTATAAATAAAGTCTCCCCTCTTATGAGAGGGGAGATGATAGTTCGAGGCTTGAGAAAAAACTTGAAGGTTTGAGAAGACGCTGAAGTTCATTGTTAACCACCATCGACTACCGTCGACCACCCCCGATTGTTGTCGACCACCATCTACAGGCCTTCGCCGATTGATATCCGTCGCCACCCGTTCCTATAACAAACTCATCCATACATCGATGTTGTAACGTGCGAAACCTAGTAATCCTTTCCCGCCTGTAAGAAAAGTGCTTGCAACTTTAATAATCTTTTTATAGTGAAACACTTTAGCTGAGTCAGACCATGTGATTTTTTATTTTACTGGTTTTCCACGTAAAAACTTTTGGTTTCATTATTAGTTTTCTTCTTTTTTCTTAATATGTGTTGAATCTTCATACCACACTAAGAAAAATAATCAGTTAGTGTACTGTCATAAATTTTCTAGCACATATCAAATATTGATAAATGCTTATTAAGCAAACTATTTATCAATAATTAAGAAGATTATTTCTTAAGATTACCGAACAGGGAAAATATCTTGGCTTCCTGATACATATGACTAGAATTAAAAGTCATAAACGGCGATAGAGACCTTAGAAGATTGAAGTAGACTTGAATGAAATGGCATATGGTTAAATGCATCTCTAAAAAGAATAAATGCAAATTCCTAATTTACTTTCATTGCATTGTTCCTTATGTAAATAAATATTGGAAACATAAATTAAGAAAATTATAGAAGTTTCCATTTGCTTGGGCCTTATCAGGCGCGAATATATACAACTATATATACTTCAAATATCTAATCAAACAGCCTATTGGATGACCGCTTAAGTGAAGGGATGGCCACCTAAGCCTTCAATCATTTGAAAATATAGCTTAATTAAGTGCAAAAAAAATTTCTAAATCTATCAATTAATCATAACATTTAAACATCAATTTTGTCTTTTATGCCATCAAATATGTGAACTTAATTAGGCTAACATTTTTTAACATTTCAATCCTTATATATAACGTATCAGAAAAAAAAAGATATATATATTGATTTTACAAGTACAAGAAGCTAATTTTCTCTAGGGCTTGTTTGAGAAGGTAATCAAGTCCTGTTCGGCTGACGTGAACTTAAGATCCTGGCTGTAAACGAGCCGAGCTTGAGCGAGGTCAGGCTTGGCTCTGTTGTGTTAATCTAGTTGTCTCTAGAAATTGTTTATGTATTTTTGCACATTTTTCATGTGGATTAGGAAGTTTTGAAAACCGTTTTGTGGTTAGGTGGTTAGGAAAACCGTTGAGTGGTTAGTTAGTTTTATTTTCAGAAAAATGTGACATATTTGCTTATAAATTAAACCAGAAAATGTAGAGGGTGTGAACTACTAAATAAAATTCCTCCATTTTTGTTGGCGTCTCAAGTTTGGTTTTGAAAACCAACATTTGGTATCAAAGCGAAGGTGTCAAAGAAATGGCCGGAAATGATGGAGATCCATCTAAGTCACTTGCTGTCATCAAACCGACGGCAAGAGGAGCCTCAATCCCGATCCAATTTCCAACGTTAAGTGAAACGAACTACAGCATATGGGCTGTCAAGATGAAGATAATCTTGCGTTCACTAGGAGTATGGTCAGTGATTGAAGGTGAAGAAAAAGACGATGATAAAGATCAAGGCGCCATGGTAGCCATTTCTCAAGCCGTGCCGGATGACGTGATGATGGTAATCGCGGAGAAAAAGACGGCAAAGGAGGCTTGGGACGCACTCAGGGAGATGCGAGTCGGCGAAGATCGCGTTAAGAAGGCACGCGTACAGGTTCTGAAACGACAACTGAACAAGTTACACATGGAGGATTCAGAGACAATAAACGAATTTTCCATGAAGCTTACCACGCTGGTGGGTGAGATCCGCTCACTGGGCACGAAGTTCGACGACAGTGAAGTTGTTGAAAAATTGTTCAGTGCAGTTCCAGATAGATTTCTCCAAATTATTGGAACAATCGAACAATTTGGCGATATTGAGAAGATGTCGGTATCCGAGGCGATAGGTCGTCTCAAGACCTTCGAGGAAGGGCTTAAAGGGCGATTGCACTCAAAGGGTAGTGGAGAACAGTTACTCCTTACCCAGGCCGAGTGGGAGGCAAGAATCTCAAAGGCAAAGAAAGATGAAGGTTCCAACAACAACAAAAAAGGAGGACGTCACGGGAGAGGACGTGGTCGTGGGCGTGGATATGGTGGAGGTCGAGGTGAAGACCGAAAGCCACGTAACTTCGACAAATCCAAGGTTAAGTGTTTCAATTGTAATGAATATGGTCATTTTGCAAAAGAGTGTCCCAAACCAAACCGAAGAGAAAAAGCAAACCTTGTTGCAACGCAAACCGAAGATGAACCAGCA